CTGTGGCTTTCAACAAATGAAAGCACGAAGGGGAAATTGTTTCAGTTCTTCCTCCTGTGACTGCCAGTTCTTACCACCTTGGTACGCGCACGTTGAAGATCAGAGGTGCTGCTTTACAGAACTGTCCTCTTAATGTTTTACCCAGAGCAGCTGGGGAAGTGGTAGAGACAGCTTTGTTTCTCGCTGTCTGGTTGTCAGGGCCAATTAAGTGTTCTGGTGTTGGGAAGGAGGGGAAAATCAACCCACACAAGAAAATGGGAAATTTTTGTTCTTGTTTCCAGAATTGTTGCCACTAACTTCTTGAAAATATTGGTCTTTGTGCTAGATTTGGGGGGTTTTTTTGGTTGTTTGGTGGGGTTTTTGTTTGGGTTTTTTTGTTTTGTTTTGGTTTGGTTTTTTTACAACAATCATTTTAACATCAGGAAGCCTAACTTTTGGGTTTAGCTTGATAGTATTTGGTTACTGTTACTTCAGGAGAAGTCATGTTGCTTTTATCTTCACCTAAGTATTGCACTGCTACAGGAAAATCACAAAAGAGGCACAGTAGCTACCAAGCTGCCTCTGCCCAGATGATTGTATTGTTACAGTAACCCAAACAATCCTTAATTAAATTTCTTTGCCTGCCCTGAGTGTTACATTCACTGAAATGCTGTTTCATTATGTTTTTTAGGGCCGGTGTACCCGAGAGAATTGCAAATATCTCCATCCTCCCCCGCACTTAAAAACACAACTTGAAATAAATGGACGCAACAACCTGATCCAGCAGAAGACAGCCGCAGCCATGTTTGCTCAGCAGATGCAGTTCATGCTACCAGGCACGCAGCTACAGCCAATTGTAAGTTCCAGCAATGAATTGGGTTCATGCTGCTCCTCATTTCTTTCCTGTTTGCTCACAGAGGCCCCAGCTCTCTGCTTTTGCTCAGGCAGTTGTTTGTGCTGCACAGAGTTGGGCAGCATCTTCCAGAGGGATGTCTGATGCTACTTTTGCATCTTCTTGCAAGCTGTGGCTCCCCTTTCCTCAGATAACTTAAGAAGCTGCGAAATTCAGGGCATCAAGCTGAAGGGTCTTGCTACCAGGTGGATACATGACCAGTTAATTCACATACAGCCCAGCAGCCCTGAGTGTCTCAATTCCAGTGGGTTCTATTTTGGATGACTGTTTTACATTGGAGTGAGGATGCTGGAGTACTTCCATGCTGTGGCAGGAGGACAGTTGATTCCCTTCAACTAGATGCTTTGCACTGGTGGGCTAAAATTGGGGAAAGCAAATCCTACCCAGACCTTAATACATTTTCATCTCTGGGAGTGAGAGCCATTTCACTGCATTTGTCTCAGCAGAGAGTTGTGCTAATGTCACAGCCCTGTCACTTGTTTTTTACAGTAATGCTGTTAGTATATAACAGCAGGAAAGATTTGCTTCCCTTTAGGTAAGGAGGGAGGCTTGTGGGAGCCGGGTGTTTGCAGAGTACGTAGGTCAGTGAAGCCTTCACTGCCTGCTCCTGCTGGAGCGTATTGGTTAAAACAGGTTCTCAGGCTGGAGAACCCTGTTAGGCCAGGAAGAGGATGGCTTGTGTCTGCTGGGTGGTGTATCTGGGATGGGATGATGTTTGTCAACTGGGTTAGAGTCTGTCACTATGTACATTTTAAGAAATATCGGCAGTCTTGAAGCAGTTTTTTGATGCTGACATAAGTAAGCTGCATGTTTTTAACTGAGAGCCTGATTAGGAATTCTCCATTTAAAGTCGGGGCTGAATGTCTTTCCTGGGGCAGCGTGCACTTGATGTGCAGTTGTTGGGTGAGATTCCCTGTGCTGTGCCACATGGGAGATCTGGCTGGATCCCTAGGACAGACTCTTCCAGCCTGAAAATGTGCAAGTCTGTGACCCAACCTGCTCTTGGCCTCTTGGTGTCCCACCTGCAGTGCGCGGCTTCTCTGCCCAAATGAGGCTTCAGACTCAACAGCTGTCACCCAGCTGTGACAGGTTGGAGTGTCTCTGATTCATCCTCACAAGAGACCGGTGGAGGGTTCTTTCTTGCTGGGACTGCTGTGCTGTCTGGTGTAAGAGCTTGCGATGATGCTGTGTTTCAGGAGGGAAAGCTGGTCAGTGTCCCTCCACGATGGTGCTCTGCCACCATACTGGGACATTTCCCCTGTCTGGCCTGTTTCTTCTGTCTTGTGAAGGCTCTTCCATGTTCACCCTCACTCTGGTCATCCTGCATGTGTGTTAGAAGCTTTATCTCTACCCTGCCCTTTAAGGTGAGGAAATGCTGTTTATTCTTCCCATTTCAAGGATGGAAAAGTGAGGCAGAAGAGAAAATGGGCCACAGAAGAAGTCTTTAGTTGCTCTGCACCTTAAGCTCTAATCTGCTGTAATCTTTCACAGGATCACAGGGGTTGGAAGGGACCTCAGGAGACCATCTAGTCCACCCCCCCTGCCAAAGCAGGTTCCCTGCAACAGGTTGCCCAGGAAAGCGCCCAGGCAGGTTTTGAACATCTCCAGAGATGGAGACTCCACAACCACTCTGGGCAGCCTGTCTTTGCATCTCTTTTTGTGAAGTTCCCTTTTCATGAAAGTATGTGTGCATGAGAAGGAAATCCTCAATTCCCACAAAATGGTAGCACTGGTTTCCTAGCCCTGTACCAAAAGCAAACCTTTCCTGTTTGGGGTTTTCCTCTGTGGGGAATTCACACTGGACGCTCTTTGGCTGGCTATTCAAAACATCTTTGGGATTTCCTCTTTGGGAAGTTCCCGTCTTCCCATTTTGCAGTCTTGCGGGTCCAGTTCACAACTTCAGCAGTTTCACTCCTGCTTTTTAAATTGCCTCTGAGACCGAATCTGTTGGTTTGTCTGGTTAGTGCTCTCATTTCAGAGGTAACCTTATCTGATGAGAAAGGTCCCTGGTTTCTAAATTGTGCCGTGAGACAGACATGGGCAAAGAAGAAAAATAAGAATTTGTCCTGCAGTGGCTGGTCCCTTCCTGCTTTCCCAGACTTTCCTCAGAGTAAACAAGCTCTTGGTCTAATTC